CCACAGATTTGTGTAAACTGTATAAAGCTCGTGCTTCTATCAGTGAGCTAAAAACATTGTGGCGTGTTGAAAATAAATGGAATGTTCGTAACAGTAAAATTAAACAGCGTGTTACACTGAGGATGATGTACGTTTGTAAAGCATGGTTTTCCGGCAGAGTCAACAACACTGGAGCCGCTTATTCGAGCCCCGTTCGGGATTGTTCGTGTGAATGTTCTATCGGTTAAAATATTTATTGCAGTAATTCTTTAATATAGGGGATTTGAATATGAACTAGGTCCTCATGTACGACAGAGCAACCAAAAACCTGGAAAGAGAAAAGAAGATTGGAATAAATAAAGGGAAAAGAGAAACGAAGACGTATTTACTACATTCGCTTCGTCCGTCATACAACACACACCAAGTGCATGGCCGAGGTTAATGCGTGGGATGACCAGTGATAACATCGCTAAGGCCACCACCATTGAGCACTCTGTTTGTCGAACGTAGATATTGTAATCCTGCAAGTTACGACTTCATCTGAATCTAATGTTTTCAGCACGAGTAGTACTTATCGTCTGTTGGAAAAGTCCATTCATTCTCACATCGGTCCATTCATTCTCTAACAGCGAAGTTGCTTGTTTATCTCAGCTGCAGCCAAGGGAGGCTGCAGTATCAGTGATATAAAATCATTCATAAAACTGTGGATCATGTTGTGGTATTTCCTGTTTTTATTTACATCACACAGTAACTATTATTGATCTATTAGTCAGTTGTCTGGCTACGGGCTGGACGATCGGGGTTTAGTTCCCGGGAATAATATCCAGAGCGTGATGCCATCAGGAAAGCTTCTGGTTTTCCGGGAAAATACAGCCATTAAGGAAAATTTTAAAACGTTCCAAATATTGGATTTGAGACTTTCGCGGCGAGTACAATTAATAAAATCTTCTCGGGCTATATCAGCAGCGTTAAATGGTTATCGTAGTAAACCGACGTTTCGGGAACAAACTGTCCCCGTCTTCAGGGTTCTGATGTGATTGGATCCTTGACTTTCGAGGATCCAGTCACATCAGAACTCTGAAGATGGGGACAGAGTTTGTTAACGAAACGTCGGTTTACTACGGTAACAATTTAACGCGGTTGATTGCCCGAGAAGATTTTATTGGTTCCAAATATTGTCTGTGAAATTGATAAGACCGTCGGAAGAGTTGGCTACCAACACATGAATAAACTGAATACCAAAGGAAACTCTTGGCATACAAGCCGCTGGAGCGAGGAGATTCTGAACGCTGGAAGAAACTATGGAACACCGGAAGGTTTAGGGACAGGCAGTTAGGCCTAAGATGTCAGAACATAAGATATTCACAACATTTATAGATTCACACACGCGTGTAACTTTGGCTTTCTGCGAAACGTCTCATCCGAGAAAGACGTAATTACGCATTGAACTCCAGCACACAAACAAGAAATGGTCAGTCAATACTGAAATGTTCAAAAACACTCCCCGCGGTTAATTAAACGGAACGAGTCCCTGGAATCTGTTTTGAAAACTGCACAGCCCAGTTAGCATAGTACAGCGTTTTTCTAAAAAAAACATTTCAGTATTATCGTCTCCCATACACGGCCCAAGTTTGCCAATAAATGTACACCGGAAGTTTTTTTTCACAAAATTCTTATTGCATGTCTTATTTCCAGTCGTGTCTAGCGCGTGCAACACTCACTTCTTAGGTGGAATGTCACAAGCGTTATGCATGATATTCCCTTCTTGTTTACTGCACAAATATGGTTCACGGAATATGATAGCAATCTCAGGAGGCAGAGGTCAAGTTTGGGGTCGTCTGCTGATCTCAGCGTATGGTTCATTTAGATGCAGGCGACTGCTGGAGTTTGACCAACAGAGACAATCCCCTGCTTCCTGCTTTACTTAACACTGCCAGTTCCGTGTACCTGACCAGATGGCGGAGCAACTTACAGTCGCTCAGCTGTCCAATGTTCCGCATTTTTATTGTGAACGTAATAATTTAATCCTATAATGAGGCCACCTCGATCCAGTTCACAGCCTCAATGGCTAAGATCATTATGCGTATGGGTCTCATCCCGTTGAACTGTATGAAGACAGGAACTTTCAAATATGGTAAATTGGTATACAAGAAAATTAACTTATGTTAAATACTCGACAAAGTAAAACCAATCAGAGAGAAGTAGAATTTAAGGTGGTGTCAAATAGGCATATATTATAGGCGTTGAGCCGATTGTACAGAGACTTTTATTTAGTGTTCTCTCTGACGACAGGTCCATATGAACAGGATCCTTGCATCCTTTTCTCGGACTGGGACCTGTTCATATACGTTCTTGGCAGATGAGCCAGAAGTGGTTTGCCATTGCCTTCTTCTGTGTGTGAATGGAGTAATTGTTGGGATGCCACGGAGAAACCGGGGAAGCCCCCGGAGGAAAACTCCGTGATGCCTAGACCACGGCCTTGCCCAACACAAGTTATAAATTCGGGCAACCCCGGGAATCGAACCCGAGACCCCAGGATTACAAGTCAGCGTTCTAACCGCTAGACCACCGTAGCAAGGTAGACTAGAGTTAAAAAATAACTATATGACCGTAATTAGTCAGTTTCACGCTCCGGCTGAATTATCACCGGGAAAAGTTATAAGTAAAGCAAGTATAAAGGATTTTAAAGTAAGTACGAAGGCAGCTGTCTTCTGGGTTGTAGCGCCGTGTAGTCTCGTAGGGCAGCAAGGACCTCTGAAACGTCGGTAAACGCCCATCAGACTACACGGCGCTACCAAATTTTTCGTCGGTATTATAATAATTATTATTGCTGTTGTATAACAGGCCAAATTGTTATTATCCAATACGCCAAACATTGCCTCTCGTTCATTCATGAGGATGTGTTGTGGTTGGTCCATTCCGACCGCCTGATATCTAAGTTTCCTATATCCTGCACACTTCCCTTTGTGTCCGGTACTAGGCGTGATAACTACAGTTAAACCGATAACGTTTCCCTGCATGTCTATTATTATACACATTCCAACTTAAACATTCCTTAATAGCGTGAATAGCAATTCATAACTTTTACTTTCCAATTGTAACAGAGGTCAGAGCGAACACGAACGTTTCCATAAATGCATGGAATTTCAGAGGCTCCATCTGTCATCAAATTGCTAAGTGTGAAGAAATAAGATCTTCAAAACGAGCTGAAGTATTAAGAATGTTGCAGTGTAACGTAGTCAGTAAAGAACAGACATCTGCAAAGAACGGACGATGTGAGAACACAAAACAAGCCTTCCATTACAAACTGCGACGTAAACTAGGAAGGGCGAAAATAAGGCACATTACGTTTGTAAATACAAAGCTGAAAACAGACGAGTTGCTTTTGTTTTCACTGGGCCAGGGGTTCATTTTGTGCGTGGCACACAAATTCTTTGAAAAAGTGCGAGGTCTGAATCAATCTGTCGACCTTGACTGGGAGACTTCTGATACCAGATCTACAATAAAAATGTTAATGCAGCTGATGTGACAGTCTTCGGAAAGGAGGAGGAGGAGGGCACCTGGTAACCAACGTCAGATAGCCCAACTGATATCAATACAGGAAACCCTTTGTAATAATCTGAAAAAAAGGCTGTATATTGTATATTGGTGAAAATGGGGAGTGGCTTGAGGTGGAAGCAAGATCCACTCATTCTCAACTGGAACACTGGAAAGAAATTACGTCAACCTGAACCAGTCCGTCTACGCTGGCCGAAGGTGGGTGATGCAGATGTGTACACAAACTGAGTCTGAAGATTTCTGTCTTCTGGGTTGTGGCGCTGTGTAGTCTGGTCGATGTCAACCAACGTTTCAGAGGTCATACTGCCTCCGTCATCAGGGCGATGCGTATGAAGATTTCTGTCTTCTGGGTTGTGGCGCTGTGTAGTCTGGTCGATGTCAACCAACGTTTCAGAGGTCATACTGCCTCCGTCATCAGGGCGATGCGTATGAAGATTTCTGTCTTCTGGGTTGTGGCGCTGTGTAGTCTGGTCGATGTCAACCAACGTTTCAGAGGTCATACTGCCTCCGTCATCAGACTCACCGCTGTGAAATCCTCAATCATAGAGTCTGCTTCACGTTTGAAGTATCTAAATACTTTATACACCAGCTCACACTGGCCAGTCTGTGTATAAGCTAAAAACTGCGACGTCCACCTTCCATGTTTTAGTACACTAGTTGTACATCTAATGCTGAATACTAGCAATCTGCTTTTCGCAAACGCAACATTCACACAACAAGTAAGAAACAGGATATGCAAATGTAGCAGGGAAAACGCCAGTACCACAGCGAGCGCAAAGCAATTGGCTAGAGCTGACTGGCTCACGAGGGCACGTGACTAGATGCGCCGAAGTGACCGGAACTCGGCCGCCTTCGTTCGTGTCGCGCATTCTAGCAAGTAGCAAGTCATTATTCAGCGTATTTATTTATTTATCGCTTTTATTATAAAATCGTTCACTGCTAAACCGGAATGCAACTGTCACAGAGATATCATTCTCATCACCTCTTACAAAAAAAATAAGTTAATTCTGTTTTTAAGGAGGATACTTGGCTCGTATCGGCAGAATCTTGCAGCATTCGACGGTGGGTCGTGCAGTTCCTGCTGGGAGCTAGCAAGTGACAGTTGCGTTCCGGTAACATGTCATCTGAGGAAAGTAGGGAGAGCAGCTGCTAATATAATGAATACAGAGTGGCGGACAGTAGACAAGAGGTATTCCTCCAACTTTGGAGTTTCTGCGAGAGCTAACTACTCCTCACATTAAAGAAGCGAGTTACCTAATGTCACACAAGGCCTTGGACTTGGAATTTGCGGACCAGCGAAGGAAAAATCACGGATCCCCAACTGTTCGCGGGCCACTCGTTGGAAAGCATTGGTCTCGTCGATCGTCCTGCCCTCTTACCGAATTGACAGTGGCTTGTGACAGCCGTGTGGCTCATTGCTGTACCCCATGTATCAGGAGCGAGAAACAAAGAGACGTACTTACCCATAGGTCATCCACAGAGATGCTGTTGTCGGTATAGAAGACTAGGTTTTCGGCAGACAGGGGAAGGGATTGTCTCAGCTTCGAACTGAGAAAAAGACACGCAGTTCCCAGCAACTGGAGTTGACTTTTCCTGATGGGACACACACTGAGGAACCTGTCTACGTAGTTCATTGCGAGAGGGAACACTTCCTCTTGGCACTTCTGTTCCTCGCACACCTTGAACACAACAATGACATGTCTTAGATCAAAAGGAAAAACAATGATTTGATATCACGAGGTGACTTGCAAGAGGAGTGGAAATAAATGTCTTTCCAGAACAAGATAAGATGCTCCGGGTTCTTCAGTTGTTACATACAGAATAAAATAGGTTTCCAGTGTTTTCCGTGTCGAAAGTGTTTAAAATAAGTTTACATCTCGGTGAAAGAATATCAAATTTTTGTACGAATATTGAATGAAACTCTGTACTTCATGTGTGGTAAATGTTATAATGGAGTTGTGTACATAACGAAATTAAATCTAAGAGTCCTTCAGGTAGA